AATTTGGTATTTGATTCACATCTATTTCTATTGAAATTTCAAATCTGGCATTTGATTCACATCTATAATTCGCATCTTGATAAGAGAAGGGTAACAATATAAGTAACTAATGAAACTTCGAATTTAACATTTGATTCATGTCTATGAGTATTGAAATTTCGAATTTGGCATTTGATTCACATCTATAATTCGCATCTTGATAAGAGAAGGGTAACTATATAAGTAATTAAATGAAACTTCAAATTTAACATTTGATTCACATCTATGAGTATTGAAATTTCGAATTTGGCATTTGATTCAACATCTATAATTCGCATCTTGATACGCCTATAATTCGTAATATCTTGATAAGAGAAGGGTAACTATATATGTAATAAATTGAAAATTTCGAATTTGGCATTTAATTAATCTACAACTCGCATCTTAAGAGGAGGGTAACTATATAAGTAATTGATTGCCCAATGTAATTTCGAATTTGGCATTTGATTCACATCTTGGAGGTAACTATATAAGTAATGATTGCCCAATGAAATTTCGAATTTGGTATTTGGTTAATATCTATAACAGATAACCGCGTCATTAATTTCGAATTTGGACGTCTTGATATACTACTATTGAGTAATTGATTGTGTATTGAGATTTCGAATTTGGCAGTTGATTCACATTTATGATTCAATAATCAATGATTCATCTTCATTTATTCATTATAATTGTCACACAGATTGATCTTCGCAGTATAGTCGTAATAGTTGTAACAGGTTGTAAAGGTTGCAACATAAATCCGTAAAGATGCCGTAATTTGTGTAAAGTTGAAACGGGTGTAATGTTCGGCAATTCTAGGTCACATAATTGTTAGCTTAGTACAACAAGAAAGAAAGAAGTTGACGAATTATTTCATTAGTAATTGGCACTAAATAAAATATCATAAATCCGTACAAATTATTTTTTCTTCTTGAATAGGTGGAAACCGAGGTATTATTCTTCTTTAAATAGAAACTGAAAAATATTGTTAAAATAGACACATTAATTTAATATATTGCTATCACTAAATTGATGAAAATAAAGCAATTGGAATATATATAAATTTATCCGAAAAGGTCAAATTTGATTCAATAAATCTTAAATATTATTATTAAAAGATTATAACATATAGTCAGAATTCATCTTTTTCTGCTGCTTTTTGATACCAATGAAAGGCTTTTTCTAAATTTCTTTTCTATTCCTTCTCCATTATAATATCTATTGGCTAGATTAAACATTGCGTCAATATGATCTTTTTCTGCTGCTTTTTGATATCAATGAAAGGCTTTTTAATATATGGTTCTCAATATATCGAACTCATTAATAAATTCTTAATGAAACAAATTTACTTGATAAATTTCAACTTGATTCGTTTGTAGTATCAAATTAGATTCTTTAAATTAATTTACCAATCATAAAAAATTGTAACTCGCATAAAAAGAAATACCACCCATTTTGTGGAAAAAAAAGTAATAATTTATAATTAGAATGCTTCTAAGAATGACGAATATATTTTGTTAGGATACAATGAAAAGAAAAGATTAAACATGTAGAGAATTTTTACTATAGTAATTAATTTCGCAGCCGTAACCATATTATAGTTTCGACAACACCACAGTATATCTCTTAATAAAAGTGACTTGCATTTGTTATGACCGACATATCAAGATCAATAATTTTGTGCTCTTGATTTTTCAAGAGGAAACAAACCATGCTAATAATTTACTTTTGGTTTATTATTTATTTATTACAACATTAAAATGATTAATACGATTAAATTCATCTAAATATTAAAAAGTTTGAAGAAATCTCCGGTGCGTTCAGATAACGTGCGTGATAAAATCTCCGATCGTTTATTTAAAGAACATTACAATATAGATTTAAGAATATGCTGAATAATAATTTGAGAAAATAGGCTGATGAATAAATTTTGTCACAACATACTGTAAAAATATTTTAATATGTTAAAATCCTTAAATTAGGCTAATTATTATAGTGATCAGAACCAAATTATGCCCAATGTTAGTATTAGATGAACCGGAAGCTTTGTCAGTATTCAATAGTGCTATTACTTGGATATGGCGTATTTGTTGTTGGTTCAGAATCGGAAACAACTATAGATGTTTAATTCATTTCACATCTGATGACATCGTTAACTATACCACATAGTAGTAAAAAGGACCCTGGTCCTAGACTTCCGCCATGAGTGCTCATAGTTTCGAAACCAGTACCTGATCCTCTTGCAGAAATTACTATAATATTATAGAAGTTAGTTTGCATAAAAGACCAAAGTAGAGGAAATCACTTAAGCTTACACGTACCTTTAGCTTGATCATCACCCGATTTTTCATTGTGGCCTACAAAGTACCCAAATGTCTCCCATGAGTTGTCACTATAATCTGCTACAAAAGAAATAAAATCGGATTTGTGTATGTTAACAGTAGAAGGAAAAAAAATTTAAAATTGAGAGTATCGGCAAGAATATTTCGTATTTGCATCAGTTGGATGGAGTAGGAGATTGAGTTTAGTGATTTTTTGAGCAAGAACGAACAGAATGAGGCAAATGAGTGCTTTTGAAAGTGTAAACATTTTGATGAATTGATAGCAATCATGAATTTGTCTAATGTGTATGTATTATTTATATTCATAGTATGTAATGTTTTTTGTTTACGAGTTCAAAAAAGAATTTTCCTTCGTCTGTGTTCTGGATAGCGGGTAACCTTTTTTGTTACGGATTAAAAAATTTACGATTTCTTCGAAGTTAATATTATATCTAAGATTATCGATCAACGAATACGATCAAATAATGAATGTGTTACAAATGCTATTTCGTTTAATTTACTAGTACAACCCATTCACTAAAAATTTTGGATAATATTTAAGAAATTTTACATTATAGTACGTTACTGTCTCTGATCTTGAAAGTGAAGTAAGAAAGAGATTAGTGTCTATCAATCGTAAACGACTTCCTTCATAAAATTTATCCTGCGGAGAAGCCTATGCGAACGGAAGATAGGATTTCCCCCTATTTTAATGAGACGCATAATTAAGTTGTTATTCACATCCGAATTCTCCTTTGAATTAATCAAAAATTCTTCGATTTATTTCATAAATAATAAAGCATCAATATATTGGGAATGTGCCATTCCCGGCCATTAATTTTTCATGTTTGCTTCAGCAGGATCGATAACTATATATTTAGTAGGATCTAGTTTCTGGAGCATGTAACTGGAATTTACTGCTGGATCCCTTCATATTTGATAATGATTTTATTTTGACCATAGTCAATATTAGCATTATCCATTTTTAACCATTCATTTTCAAACAACACATTATATTCTGCTGAATTGGTAACTATCATATTTACATAAACTTGATATCTCTGGTGCTTGTCAACCCATTTCAATAGGACAGTTTTTTGTCCAGTTATATTGATAATTTTAATATTGGTTGGTGCTTCAATTTCTTTGTTAGCTTGTTCCAGAAATCATACATTCAACAGCCCTCGAGTTAATTAAAACATTAACAGGTTGGTATAGAGCTACTTCCGCTCTCTTTTTCGATTAACGTACACAGTTCTTCTTAGTGTAGTAATCTTAAGAATTAGTGAATGTACTTTTATTATCATTAGTTTATTAAATTTGTCACATTTAGACGAACATTTTAATCTAAATTTCATGAAAAAATGAGCAATATTGACCATTTTAAAGCCAAGTTTAACTTTTTTTGTCTCACTCTCATACTTGCTAATAATTACTTTTTTGAAAAAGTGACTGTAAAGAAATCAGAGCAAACAATATTATTGGTAAAATACGCGTGTTACCAGAAGTTCGAAGCAATAAGCATACAGCATACATGAATTTCTCTAAATTATGCTTAACTCATCTAATGATAGTATTACAAAAATGAATTTAAATATTATTAAATTATTTATACTTGTAATAATTACTTTCAAAAAAAAAAAAAACATTAGGTAAAATTATATCAAAGCAGAGCTTTTACTATGATGATTCCAATGATAAACTAAAATTTATTATTTATAAAGGGTTAAGAAAGTTTCAAATTTTGATTAATGAAATTCGCCTAAAAAATCAACAATAATATAATCTTCATTATTTAGATTATTTATCTTTTATGATATCATACAATTCATAAAAGGAATTTTGGTTTATGGATAGTACTGCACTTGTAGAAAACAAAATAGTTACTATTTTGTATAATTAAACATCAAAATGCTTTATTCTTTTCATTCTTATTGACTTATTACCATTCTATTAAAGGTGTCTACAAAAAAAAATTTCGTCTACCTGCACTTTCTTCCTACAATACTTCATAAATATATGTTACAAAATTGTTAATCATTATTTAACAAAAAAAAATGTATCAAGAAGCATGTTATTGGATATAATGATATAATTTTAAAAATCCAGATAAACAAGTATTCTTGAGCATGATTAGAATATTTAACCACCCAACTAGAGATTTTACTATAATATACGTAATGATCTATTTCTTTTTTAATAAACTGGAATCATATTAAAAGCATGTCACTTTTACTATAAAAATTGTTTATAGTAAAATTAACATCTGAAATCTAATTGAGAAACAAAATTATTTTTAGAAAAAAGTATAAAGTTTTAGTATATAATAAAAAATTGATTTGAAATGGGAATAAAAAAAATATTAATGAAATATCTCCTTTTGAAATTTTTGCATTTGATAAAGTATCCAATAAGCTTTCCAATATATAATAGTAGTTATTAAAATTGTCATCTATATAATTCAAATTAGTTGGCGTAAGATGATCATGTAACGCAATTGAAATGTGGGAATTAAAGTTTTTTATTTAAGAATTATAACAAACGGAATCATCCCAATTATGGATTATTTACACAACGTACACAACGTAAAAGTCGTAAAACGTATGACAATTTGTAAACGAAAGATTTTTAAATACCCCTATACCCCATACTTCATGTTGTCGAACACATTAACTTCGTTAATTAATATTTCCTTCTACAATTAAATTTCATTTTAAAGAAGTTATGGAATCGCAGAATAACTATTCGTTGGTAAATCCACCCCTTTTCCATAAGGACGGAAAAAATAATCATGACATACCCAAACCCATAACATATTGCCGTTCGCCAATATTTCAAGGTATCATCCTTGGTTGGTCTGCTTCCATTTCGATAGTGATATTAGCTATCTTTGCGGGAACATTAAGCCAGATGATAGACTTCAATGTCATATGGGACTTGCGTATTGGTATCTTTTTATCGATAGTAACAGTAATCACAAGGATAATGTCTGTTGCTGTAGGGTTCATGTTGCCAGCTATTTTAGCGGGAATACTTTCCTTCATTCAAATACCAATTCTAAAAGTACCAGGTGCAACAATCATTAAATTAATGGATGCATCCATGACCCGTGGCTTATGGAGTACCTTAACCGTCTGTTTTAATTCTGGTCGAACTTATAAACTCACAATAATTGTTGTCTCAGTATTGACGTGGCAATATATAACATCAGCAGTTGATTTGTACGTCCATATCACCGCCACTGGAAATTTTCAAAGATTACCTGGTCAAATAATCACAAGCGCGAGGGCAATAAACATAGCAACCAATTGTTCTGAAGATTCACCAGCCTTTGATACTTGTGGACAATGGCAAGCAGCTACCAATGGTGGGCTATTGAATCCTGCCAGAGCATTGGAGACTTACCAAAACAAAAGCAAGACTTTACAAGTTTGGCATGCTGATGGTGGAATTTATCTTTTACAATCCTCGCCCCCACAACAAGCCTATTCATACTCTGGGTCAGGTATTTTCTTTCTTGTAAGCCTATCAGTAAGATATGCAATTTAGAAGCCAGTTATGGTGCCAGGACAGGATACACTTGCCCTGAGACATTATGGTCCGCTTCAGGAAACACACAAGCTTTTGGTCTGAATGATGTAGGAGTGAATGTTACAACATTTACTTATGATCTAGCAAAAGATAAATACACATCATCTAATCCAATGCATGCAATTGTTTCCGCACGATATCCCAGAGGGGGATTAATGAATTATGATTCTGAATTTATAAACGAAGTACATGGTGACCTTTCAATCCTATTGCATTGCCAAATACTTTCCTCATTAATTGAATATGTGATCACTCTTGGAACAATAAAAGCAACTACATTTGGAAATCTAACCAACCCACAGCTTGTAGCCCTTGTAGGTGCATCAACTCGTATGAGTCAACGAGCAGCTCAGGATATTGCAGATATAGTGTACACAGGAAATAGTACATTATTTGCTAATGCGTTTGCACAACAATGGGCTTTAGCAACTATTGCTTCATTTACTGGCGCAGTACAAGAGAATGAAGAAAATGGAGGAGGATATAATTATGTGCTTGAAGTGAATAAAGACCAAACTGTTGTTCCACTTCCAGTTGTCTTACTCTATGCTATTGTTATCATATTTCCACCATTAATCTATTCTTGTATATGTCTTTATTCTTTCAAAAATTGGTCAGATGATATAAATATCAACTGGATACTTGCTGAATTCATCTGTATACCACAGAGACTACTTTATCAAACCTTAATTGGTGAACATTATGTAGATGATGCTTGTTTAAAGAGCTTGGCAATGCAAGAAAAAAATCTTAAAAAGGTTGAATTTGATATTAAAGTGGAAGATGGGCATGTAATATCACAAAAATTAAAAAAAGAAATTCAATAATAAATTAATAATGCATTATTCTTAAATTATTTTTATTTACACAAGTTAAAAATTTAATTAATTAAAATTCTAACTTTATTTTTTTTATATTTGTAATATTTGTAAATTTGTAATATAATTTTATATTATACATTTTTCACCTAAAATTAATTTTTAGATTTTTTAATATAATTTAATATAATTTTGGTAAATTGGTAATATTAATACTTTTTTTTGAAAATGATTTTATTATTTTAATTATTTATTTTAAATTTTAATATAGTAAATTTATATTGCAACTGATTTATCAAAAAATTCAAAAGTATAAATTAATACTATTTTTAATAAAATAAAAACTTTTACCTAATCATGTGATTCTATTATTAAATTATAATAAGCTATTTTTTCTCATAAACTGCTTCTCTTTCTTTTTATTGTTAACCTACTTTCTTTTATTTCTTTTTTATTATATAATTTATATAGTAGATACAAATAAATATATTAATAAAAATTCTGTTTCCAGTGCAGTAATGAAGAAAATAAGTTTGTATTATATTAATTGCAAATAAAAAATTTCAAATATAAGAAAAACTTAAGGCTCATCTGGAATATTTATGATAAAACTTTATTTAATAAGTAAATATTAGTATTAAATTACTAGTTTGAAAAGTATAAAATTTAATAAATATACAATTAGGATTAGAATTTTGGAATATAAAACTAGGATTAGAAGTGGAATTAAGACTAAAATTTTGGGATTAGAATAAGTATTAAATTAAGGATTAAGAATACCTTATAAAAAAAGTTAATCCATTTTTTTTATTCCATTTTTTTTCCATAAAAGACTCATATTTCTGGAATTAATAACTTTATATTATGGAATTTATCAAATTATTTGCATTTTCTGTAAATAAATCAGTGAAAGGCTTATTTTCACAGAGTTTTTACAGAAACAACAGATAAAATTTTTTATTAGGATAGTTGAATATTACTAATATTTTTCTGCTTTTTATATTTTATATTTTATTTAAATTAATAATATAGAAATAGAACATAAATTATAAAGATTATAAAAAGATTTTTATATTAATGATAATAGCAAGTTTAATATTACTACTAAAAACTAACTTTTAAAGTAAAAAAATCAATATTTTTTTCAAAAATCTACTAGTTTTTATAAATATTATGAAAGAAAGAATAAAATTTCTATTTTGCAAAAATATATATTTCTTAAATAGTTTGTCAACAAAAAGCCACTTTTTAAAATTTCAACATGGACATAAAATTAATCAAAAAAGTAAGAAATCCAAATTATTTTTGCAGTATTAATACAAATAAATTAATTTGTAATTCAGATAAGAAGAGGTGAACTATTAAGCAATTTTCAAATATGCATATTTTACATAAATAAATCTATCAATTTTCATTTTAACCAATTTTTACTGAAAAACTTTAAGATTGGCTTTATCTTATGCATATATTTAAAATAATCTTTATAAAGTTCAAAGTTTTGTAATTAATTTTTAAGAATCATCAATTAGTAAAATTTCTAATAAAAATGCACATGTATAATTTCTGTCTAGTAAGCATTAACTATAAGTTGCCAAATTTATAAATATATACTTTTGAATATATATTAATAGATTATTAAAAAAAAGTAATATAAAAAAAATAAACTTTAAAATTATAAAATTTTAAAATTTGAGTTATTTTTATATCCAGTAATTATAAAAGAATGAAATATTTTCTGTTTGAAACTTTTTTGGATAATATGTTACCTATTATTAATTCTATAAAAATAAATATAATACAATTTAATGTGTTTTATTAAGATAAATCTAACAAATTATATTTTATCTATTGAATGATAAATTAATGCAATAAATTTTAAATAACTGGTATTATCACCTGGCTACTAATTGGTATTTAGGATTTTTTCCGCCAGTTATAAACTGGCGGACCAATTAGTATATCTAGGATGATAAAAAAGTTATTTACTGATCTAGTTTAGTATATAAATGGGCCATCATCCTTCGGATGATAACCCATTTATATACTACTAGATTAGTAAATAACTAATACTTAAAACCTGTTTATAAATATATAATATAAAAGAACAATATTTTAATTTATATTTTTTAGCCAATTGGAAAATTTAATTGTAAATTAGAGTTTTTTATTTGATTTATTACTTTTATTTTATATATATATATATATTTTTTATAAAAATAATTTTTTATTGAAGGTATTTTGTATTTTTATATAAATTATAATCAAAAAGTATAAACTAATTAATTAGTTGCAAAACAAACTTTTTTTTTCTTTTTTTTTCAGCTGTAAAAAATTAGTATTTTAAATAGAATGAAATTTAAAATCCTTTTTTAATAAAGAATATATTCATTATCTTTTTTTGATAATAAACTTGAAGAATTACCAGAAAATAGAAATATTTAATTATTGGAAATTCATATCAAATTGTCTGGGACAATAACAAGATATGGTTTAATTCATATAGTTTTCAATAAGAGTTAAATTACAAGACCAGAAAAAGTGAATCTAATAATGATGGCATTATAAAACAACTTAATATATGGGTGTACCAAAATATGTTTTGTTCAAGTAATGGCTCAAAAATTTGTACTCAATATATTTCTGAACTCGAGACTATAATAAATAAATAAATTATAAGACATAATTTCACGCGTAAAGATCATCATCTTCGCTGCTCTCGTTTTCAAGTTCCATATTTTCCTCTTCCTCTTCTTCCTCTTCTTCTTCCTCCTCTTCATATTCATCAAGACTATCGTCGTATTCATCATCTGAATTATATGGTGCATAATACTGACAAGTCGGTGCATGATAATGATTACCATGCGTACGAATATTTTCGTAGTCGCCAAGGCACCTATTCCAATGTAAGGGAAAGTTAAGAAAGTGACAAGAATTTTAGAGAGAGAAAATAATTAAATACTTACAACCAACAGAATTCGTAACCACAACGGCAACTCATGTGATCACATCCATCATTCTTCTCGATAGACATGTAACAATTTGGACATTGTTTTGTATGCCGTTCATGATAAGCGCGATTGGCGGTAAAATCTTCGGTTTGCAGTTGTTCGTTGAATTGTGTGCAGGTTAAACCACTATGCCAAGGCACATCATGCGTGAAACAGGATTTTGCGCCACAAGCCCCACAAGTAATTATAGGAAATCTATCTATTATTGATAATGAAAAATTAATATAAAAAACCGAACAATTATAAAATGGCTTAAATTGGTTTACCTCCTGTCGTATGTTCCTGACCAGAACCACACTTTTGAGCCTTGCACCAACGAAAATCGGGAAGTTTACGAATGGCAACGCGCAATAACAAAGTGTCGTACCTTTATGTTAAGGAAATACATTTAGTAACTTGCACAGGTGAAGGACTCTATATAAATTTAAAGTTCAAAGAAAGCGAAAAAAAAAAAAATTTTACGTCACCTTTCAAATAATTCCTTTGACGCCAGTCTTCGCACATCCTCGTATGTTAATTCTATCGGACAGCGGGACTTTGGACACCGCACTTGAACATCTCCTCCCTTAGAATTCAATTCGGCTTCAATGTGACGCTTGATACAAACAGAGCAAATGTCATTATGGCCACAGGACGAAGATATCTGTTGAATTATTGAATAGTCTTCGCAACAAACACCGCATTCTAGTGTCGTTTCCGTCATTACAACAATAATCGGTTGTGTGCAGGAAAAAAGGTTTGTTGGTTTAACCTTTTTATATCAAAAGCAGCACACCCCAATTCGGCACGTCAAAAACCGGTTTGTATTTGCGTGTACAAAATCATATGGTTTGAATACTGCGGTCAATTGAAAAAAGTCACACGTTATTTGTCACATGGCAAATTCTTAATCCCATATATTGCATTTGAATTTTTACCATCCAAAGACACGCATAATTGATCTTGATCTATTCAAAAATTTCCTTTTAAGCCTGCAGACGATATATCTCGAATTTCTCAGTGTTTCATAGAGACGGTAGATGAGCTTAAAATCTGTAAGGGTCACCAATAATTAATAAAAGCTACGTATTTTATTTTGAATTATCCATATCTTATTGAATTTGGATAGTATGGACATTATTCCAGTTGGATTTGGCATACATCAATTAGATGGATGTTCAAGATTATAAGTCCACATCCTCAATTCACCAATATAGGCAAACCTCATCAATTGCCATCTGATGATTCTGATCTTTTTGTTAATTTCGATAATTTGACTTCCTTTGAATATTGTTGTCTAAAGGCTAAGATGGCCCTATCAACTTATACGTCGCGGAAACAGGATTAATAAAATTAATATATAACCATTTACAGCTGGTGCAACTAAATATTCCACAAGTACAAATTTATTGATATACTAAAAATATACTGTTAAATATCGACACATAGTGTCATCACTGTCATGGGTCAAAAACTTAATCTTGATTCGCAAAAAAATTACAAAAACTGCGGGATGTAATTCTTTTTTGAAATATCTTGTCTTCCTTTTACTGGCTCTATCTCTCAATTTTCCACCCTATCTCTTCAATAACAAATAACTAATAAGACCGTTACGCAATTTTTAATATTCCACGCACTTAGAGTGTAAAGCAGACCCGAGCTAATAATAAATGCTTTCTATTAGTAGTGTACGTTTTTTTTTCTGGCTTAGAGGTTGGGAAATGGTTACATACTAATTGTGATAATGCCGTGTAATAACGAAAACATCTTCACCAAACAGTTTACGTTTTCTCTCTCTACTTCATGTAAACTTTCAGTTGATTAAAATTGTTGGCAAAGTATCATCTGTGATGAAAGTGAGATCCTCAACTTTCAAAAAAAAAGGATAAGTCGTCTTGAATATTATTCATGGTTTTAGCCAAGGAGATTCATCCCGTACCCAGTCGCATGATCTTAAGGTCAAAGTTCCGTAGTTTTTCCAGCCTGAACAAAATATCCATCATACAAAAGTACCAAATAAATTTCCTCTTGAATTGCGGTCAAATAACGCGTGGTCTATTCTTTTTTTTAGCTGTACAATCTGTATAACCTGTACAATTGTGTGAAACTATTTTTTTCTGAAAAGAAGGCTTCCGTTTCTACTTCCAAATACGGTTTGTTTCTACAATTCACTATCGACTTTTGGACAACAAACCGAGAAATTTTACAAATATGACACGCAATGATTTCTTTAAATATTTGCATTCTGAGAGTATATTTGAAGCTTGATTTGGATGATAAATACGTTGATATTCTTAAAAGAACAAGAAGCCTCGTGTAAAAGGTTCATAAATTAACTAAAATGATCTTATTTGATCCTACTTTCAGCTTTCCTGCTGGCCTCAATTTGGCTAAGAAATTAAAAGATAGTCAGTACATATGAACGTAATAAATTTAACTTCTATAGCATTTAAGTTTATAAACAAAATCCAACCTACCCTGCCTTTTTTATTTTAATTTGCATCTTATCTTTTATTTCGCACTCACTAAATAAAGGCTTTTCCGAATAGTTCTTTCCATTACTCTGAGAGGGAATAGGTATAGCATACACAGGGAAATAATAATTAATTTTTGTCTTTTGGAACATTACTCTAGAAATTAAAATTATATAGAACCACGAATTTGTTGAAGAGTTAAATACCCAAATGTCAAAAAAATCGCGTTTGGAATTGGTTTAGGAGAGGTACAATTGCAACACCAAGCAACTCAAGCCCGCCAACTTGCGATTTACGTTTCTCAATATTCTTGAGGGATAACAAGCGAGCGTGTGACATCAAAATTTTCCAAAAGTTCATAGCTTCGAAATCCATTAAAAAACAGCCAAGGGATTAGGAATTATCAATATGACGAAATTGAACTATTTTTACGAAGGACACACGTAAGGACAGCACACTACGAATCTTACGAGCACACCGCAACAGAGCAACAGACAGACGAAGCGCGAGGAGTGGTATCACGCACGGACGCACCACCGCGAGAAGGAATCGAAAAGGAACAATAGCACCCTTACAACACTCGCAACGTCGCCTTTGACAGTTCAGAAGAGAATTACAGAAGGTGACAGACTTGTCGCGATAGAAAAACCAAATATTCACGATTCCTTTGTTTTTATTTAAAGAAGCTCTATAGATGTGCTAAATATTTCTTTCTAAATATGGAGTTTTGATTCTTGACGATTAAAGACTCGTTCCCAGCCAAAAATCCGTTGTAAGACCATCTCTCGGGAATTTGTCTCTTAAATAAATTATCCATAACAAGTAGTGTTAAAAAAACAAGAAAAGCCTGAGAAATGAATAGTGGAGGGCAAATTTCACATGATGATAAACACTAGAAATTTCTGATTTCACGTGATAATTAATTTTGACACGGAAACTACTAAAAAATCCGCAGCAAAGTTTGTTTTAAAAAAAATTTTTAGCAATAATTCCTTTTACAATTCTACTCAACTAACCAATTCAGTATAGCATTATTTAAAACTCAATATTATTTGTTGAGTATACATCTCAAAATTTTTGAATAAGCATAATATCTGGGAAATCCAATATTATACCCGGAAAAAATATACTGTGCAATTTTTATTTAATTACTTTCATTCTTTCATTTACCCGTTGGCCACTGCATTCAGTACCCCTCAAAAATGGTATTAAGACCCTGATCTGATCACAGGTAGTACCCGGTATGTATGCAATGGCCAACGGTATTTTATTTCTTTATTTATATTACTATATTATATTAAGTATCGATACTTATATTTTTTTAAAAAATAAAGAAATTCATGAATTCAAACAAGATCTTCAAATTAGTTTTTCATTTCCATCCATTGGTTTTAAACATTTCAATTTATAAAATAAAATTACACGTGATTCAATATCAAAAGTGTAAACCCTTTGTTACTTCCGTTACTTATGTTTTCAAATGTTAGTTCATAAAAGAACCTCAATTTTCTATATGGAAGATAGTAAAGAAAAATAAAAATTATTGGTTAAATTGATTCGGAGAGGTAAAATTTCATTTATTGGTAGCTTTTTAAATTTATTTATAAATTGGTCGAATGAATGAGGTAGTAGTCGGTTAAGATCATTAGGGTAAAGCAACAAGTTTTTTACTTGGTTTAAGCATTTCTTCAAGAATTTCAAGAAATCTAGATCATTAATTGTATCATCTAAATGTCTAAATAGAAGTTCCATCTTACTGCAATTTAATATGATTGGTTGGACTAATTTCAAATTAAAATTTATCAGTTATTGTTTCAGTCGATTAGGAATATGCGGGATTTTAATGACCAATATTTTTATGAGACATCTAGTAGATGGGGGCATGTGAGAATGTGGGATGTCGGTCAAGACCGACAGATTCCTCCATCCAATAACCATTTATCATCATTATGCAGCCAAATAGGATCATATACTGTTTTGACATACTGATATTTTTAGACTAAGGTACAAATATTAAAATATATTTTTGACGCATTAAAAAATCACATTAAATTTTATTGAGTTTATTTCTATGAACCATGACCTTGGACGTCTGCATAACAGCAAAGTTATTGGATAAGGATGTTAAAATATCATCCGAATTGCTTCACAGTTTGGTGATATTATAACATCTCTATCCAATAATTAATATTTTTATTCAGTCCCTGTAAAAAAAGTCGATCCGTTTTTATATTCCGTCTTTTTTCCGTAAAAGGTTCATAACCTTATATCACGGAATTTATCGAATTATTTACATTTTCCGTGAGTGGATCCGCGAAAGGCTCATTTTTACGGAGTTTTTACAGAAATAACGGATAAAATTTTTTATAGTGAGTCGGCGGGATTTTAATGACCGATATTTTTAATTTTTATGAGACATTCAATATTGAAAACGTTATTAGTAGCAGTAGATGGGGGGGGAATAAAGTTATCGGTCTCTGCCGATATCCATCCAATAACTATTTATCATTATGCAGCAAAATAGGATCATGCCGTTTTTGAATACTGATATTTTTAAAATAAATACATTTTTGAAGCATTAAAAAAATCACATTAAAATTTTATTGAGTTTATTTCTATGAAGCATGAACTTGGACGTCTGCATAATAACACAGTTATTGGATAAGGATGTTAAAATATCATATTCACAGGTTAGTGATATTCTAACATCTCTACCATATAATTAATATTTATTTTGTCACTGTATAGTACTATAGAGTATAGTAGTATTGCATAAAATGAGCATAATTAAGCATTAATCAGTAAACTAAACAATAATCTGCATTCTCAATTGTGAAAGTATATATTCGGCTGAAGGCGTCAAATTATCTCGGGATATCTCGGAAGAGGTTAACTCGACTAACAGTCACTCAGTCAGCTTAAGTTCCTACATCAAAGGGAATCAGTCAACCATCGGTTAGAGTTTCTTTCGTTTTTAAACCATATATGATATACATATTAGTGATATTACAATATATATCATAAGATTTTTCAAAACTTAAAGAAATATAATATAAGATCAATATTTTTAAAATTCTATACTATCCCTGTCCGAGCAGTAAAATTTCATGTAATCAAACCTAATAGAAGAATCGCAGAGAAGCTTTTTCCAGTTAGAACATCGAGATTTATGTTTAATTTTCGCGATATTACATATGCAACATACTGACGCGATAAAGCCAATGCGATCTTAACCTTTGACGATCAGAATTAACTTAGTTTCGGCCCGCATTATGGGTCACAGAGATTATTCATTACTACTATCAGCATAATGATAAGATATAATATTATTAATATATAATAATAAAGAGAAAATATTTTTGTTACGATATGCAATATTAGCAAAAAAGAAGAGACTCCTTTCGGCCAAACCAAATCACGTTAGAAATTGATTATTAATTGTGCGATTTGTACCCCATTTTTCCATAAATGTCTTTGTTATACAACAAAAAAAAAAATTTTTTTTTTTTTTTCCCCGGAAATTTTTTTTTTCCTTTATTCAAACATGTATGGTACAATATTTGATTTTACATTGTTAATAAATTATTTGTAACTTTTTATTTAACCGCATTTCTCAGAATTACAGTCAACTAAATATAAATGCACCCCTCTTGGGACCATATACATAGTTTTTGTAATAGTGCATTTAGAGAGGGTGTGCATTTATAGAAAGAGATCATATAAGCTTGAAACCGAACCAGAGGGTGCATTTATATAATGAGTGCATTTATAGAGACTTCATAGAGGAAGGGTATATATGATGAGTGCATTTATAGAGACTTTATAGAAGGTGCATTTACGGAGAGTTAACTGTAATAAAAAAAAATTTATATTATACTGTAAGTTCGGATTTTTATCGAATATCAATATAACGAGGATTCGTTCTAACTAATCAGAATTCGTCAAATATTAATGTATTACTGTAATATGTTTTTTTTTTACAAAAAAAAAAAAAAAAAAAAAAAAATCATCAAGAGATTCTTAAATAAATTAATTATCTAATAATAAATAATATTGTATAAAGTAAAATGATTAATATTTTTTTGACGATATATATGTATGCTAAATCACATTTCATTTTTCATTTTTGATAAATTAACCCTAAATCTTTTTAGAATAAAATTGTTTTGTTCAATAAAAAACAATAAAGATAATATGACCCACTATAAAAAAAAAAAAATTTTTTCTCTATTACTATCAAGTATTGTATGTAGTCTACAGTACTCAACCTTATTATAGATTATCCGTAATTAATTCATTTGCAATAACAGATAATAACACAGCCCATTCATAATTAGCATATAAAGTATAATTGAAAACGTAAAAAGGTAATTATTGTTTCCTTTAATTTATCGGATAAATTTTTTTTGGGATGACACAAAACGCCGATCAAAAATTTCAAACGAGAAGGTCAGTTAAATTTTTAAAATCAAAACAAAAAGTTATTAGTTTAATAAATAATGATAATAATAAAAAGATAATTACGAACTCGGAAAAAAATTCTCTAATAAGAAATCAATTAATATAATATTCATGTAGTATAAACGAATACTTGAAAGAAATAACGCTAATTATTTATGCTAAATTTTCAGTTAACTACGCCACTAATAAAATAAATTTACGTAAAACACATATATATACATAAATATATATATATAAATATCTGAAATTGATGGAATTGGCAGTTATTTGATTACTTTCAATTGTTACTTCTTTGCGCCTTCTTGTTTACGTAAGTTGGGAAAAATTATTAGTGTATTAAAAATTTACGCCACTTTGTCGATATAAGGAACCATTATTCTCCTAAAATTAACATGTATTTATATTCAACTAAAATCTATCTTAACCGGTAATTACCGTATTATTTAGATGTAAATAAACATGAAAATAAAACTTTTCAAGGATTATAAGGATCTTAAAATGGTCAAATTCTCAAAACGTATTAGATTATCATTCGTGAGAATAAAAAATAATTATTAAAAAATTTCGATCTTTAGAACTTTAGGCGCACAAACTTAAAAAAAGTTAATGATTTTATTAAATCCTATTGTTCTTCGGTTATTTCAGATTTAGAAATTATGGTTAAAGTGTATGAATATACATTTATGTTCAATGAAAATAAGTTAAGGAAAAGAAATCTTTTACAGAATTATTTGAAACCTTAAGATAATAATAATAATAATCAATCTGAACACACACGACAACAGAGATGTAATAAATAATGATACCAATCAATAATTAGGAAAAAAAAGGAAAGTATTTGCATTCTGATAGAGTTAAATATTATATTTTATGCAGGAAAATACTTTTGATCATCAATTCTAAGGAGTTCAAAATCCGACTTTAATATTGCTACGTTCCAATTATTTTCTTTTTATTATTGTATCTTACAAATATAGTTAATGAATATAAAAAGAAGGGTTGCACAGGTTTGTGTCTCCATTCAAAGATGTAATTGGTTAGTATCAACTCTTTTTTTTTCTCGGGAAATCTTCGTTAGATAATTCTTTTGCACGTGATACAGATCGATCGAAAAGACAGGAAATAAAACACGAAAAAAATTCGATTTTTAATTTTTAAAACGAAATAATTAACCATTTGGTATAATCAAATTTCTAAATATATCGAAATCAAATATTTGTTTTTTCTTAATCGTAAAAAACTTTAATCTACAGCCTTGCTACTGTATTTGACTTATTATCAATCACTTTGAAATTAATTAATTAAACATAGCACAAGCATTAATAATAATGAACATAAATATATATATATTTTTTTTTATAACTTATATGACATATATAATAAAAAATAAATAATGTACATAAATAATATTTATAAGAATTTTTCTCCCATCATTCTTTCCACCGTCAAACAAAAAGTACAAAGAAGCTTAAGAAATATTAGACATATGATAAAGCTGAAATTGCCAGCGAAAAGGAATGTGTGTGATGAGAGTGATGGAAAGAACGATGGGGATTATAATAGTCTTAAAATTTTAAATTTCTTAAGCTTATTAGGGTTTTATATTTCACCGGTAAAAAAAAAAAAATTATATATATATATATTTACTATATGAGATTATATAAAATAGTTTCTTCTAAAATCAAAAAATTGTAAATTAATCCCATTCCCATTCTATCCAATAAATAATTTAAAAAAGAAAAATAAATAAAATAAAAATATAAAAATATATATATATACAAAAATAAAATTTTAATGGTACAGGTAATAATCATGATAATTTATATTACCATGATTGTAATTTATGTTATTATAATTTATATTATTATAATATAAATTATCATTGATTATAATACCACTGTTGTGGTAATTAAAGGAATCATTGCTAGGAAGGACCACATTGACATCCATCCCAGGTAAATAAACCTCTTCTGAGAGTTGTGGCGTTGTTGGAGTTGGTGAAGAAGAAGAAAAAGAAGAGGTTGAGGAGAGTGAAGGTGAAGATGTCGTTATAGGTGCCGGCACAGATGAAAAGGCGCTCATACCATTATTACTAGGGGGAACGAATTGCTTGAACCGGGTCTTTTTTTTGGGTTCAAACCTGTAGTTGGGGTAAACCCTCTGATGTAGAATTTGCGCTTGAATAGCAAGCGCGTCGTACATATTTTTCGCGTCCTGAGGGATTTCCTTCCAAATTTCTCTCGCCATTTTGCATAAATTAGGCATAGTGATCCTATGTCCACTATGCTTAAGCTCCAATAGGAGACAGTTTTTCATTAAAAAAAATGAATTTGGCGGCCTCGGAATATTAGTCCGAGTTCCGCTTGCAAATGGCCTTCGTCTAGTTGATATCAGGTCTACCAAATGAAATCTCGGATTGTAGATATAATTAATATCTACAAAAGGGTTATTTTGGTTACGGTTCGACATTTTTTCCAAATTAAAAGGAAAAAATATTTTGCAGTAAAAGTTGATGGAGTGGAGTGCTCTTTAAATATTTTGTCGGAGTGAGGAAATGAATTTAAGGGGTTATTTGAATATTGATAAACCCGGCGAATGAAACCCTGTACTTTTTGTTTCGTTATACGTACGTAAGAGGAATGAATAAAATGAAAGAATTTTTGAGCTCTATTTATGTTAAATGTGATTAATGTAAAACTGAATAAATAGGCTATAATATTTTTTGTTTGTGTAATTATAAAATTGAAAAAAAAATTTCGGTGCATTTTTAATATGCAGATAACATATTTAAAGTATAGTTAATTCAAAATTTTTTTTTTTGCCGAATATCTTGTACAACAGAAGTACATACCACAGAGTTTTCCTTATTAGTAAATTACTTATCGTTCTTGTATTTTTTTGTTTTATTTTATTTTTTTCATATTTTAATCTAGAAATTCCATTTCTCATTATTTATCAGAATAAATGCTATTAATCAAGCGAAAAAATTAATTTATTATTTATATTATTATATGAAATTAACTGAAAAAGATTCATGAGATCATAATAAATTTTCACGCGATAAAATAATCACGCAACAATTTTATTATTCATAATTTTAAGGAAATGTTTAAGTCAAAGCCATCTTACTTAATACAACATGTCAATCCTTTAATCCTTTTTTTACTCCACATGAATGCTGGATAAATTTATAATTCCTTTTTTCTTTTTTTAATTTTTAATTAATTTTGCATATTGCACCACGTTACAAACCTTTATTATTTGTTAATGATAAAAAAAAAAACAACAAAAAAAATAAAAATAAGCCATGCAGAAAAGATTATTTTGATGATAAACAAGTTGTTTTATGATCGCAGTAATGCATACATGGGATAAGATAAATATTTTATCGAAAAAACATCTCCGTTAGAAATTTGCTTCCATCATGTTATAATCTGATTCGCTCAATTTCTTACAGAAATTGTAGCAAATATTTGTACTGCAAATTGATTTTACAAAACAATTTAGATATTGTTGTTAAAAAAAATATGCAGGAGATAATTTATTTAGTATAATATATATGAATTAATAGATAATTTTTTTCTTAAAAGAAATTTAATAAAATTAAAAAGAAACTGCGTAATCATCATTCAATTGGACTGTTCAGTGAAGATAAAAACCATTTCATTGTTATTCTATATTAAAAAAAAAGAATTCAGGAATTAAAGGAATTAAGAAATTGCTCATCAGTATCTCTGTTTGGATGATCAAAATTCGGATTATGAATTCCGGATATAATACCTTTCAAAATCTTACCATTACACTTCAAACAATGAAAATCTCTTATGTACCTTATATTATCACGCCCCAGTACTATGTTTGTTATTAACCGAAATTAATTCTAATGAATTCTAGACTCAATAAATTATTAATATTTAATTATTATCCAATTATAAAATTTTGTAATTCATAACACAAGGGTACACAGATGTTTGTAATTGCATTAACTTTAACCTGTTGTAAGTTGTAATGGAAATATAAAACTCCGGAATGAAAGATTTCGATACCATGTGATAGTAATCTAAAAATATATTTAATTTAAAAAAAATTGTGGCTATGATTTTATAATAAGTTTTATTTATATGTAAAATGCAAAATGTCCATTACTTGGATCATAACTTTTTTAGTTAAATAATATGAATTTTACATTTTTCAATTTTGGAATCTGATGATTGGGTTCATCACAAAAAACTATTGGTTACACATTCCAGTTGATCCAATTATTTTTCCAGTAAAAAAAGAATTTACTAACTATAATTATACTAAAATGATCGTTTGTATAAATTTAGAAATCTTTATGATGCCGATCATATCTTAATTATTTCAAAAAAAATTATCGTATTTTTCAGATAAGTAAATTATAATTTTTTTTAACAAAAATTTGAACTTCTTTCATAAATTTTATGTTAAAAGTCAGAGTGATTCGAAACGTGTTCCATATGCTGTATACACATAAAACATGAAATTTGTGGCTTGCCCCCTTAGGTTCTTTGCATATATATAAACTTCAATTTATCATACTGTACATCCATACTATTTGTTTTTTCTTTATTTTGTTAAAAATAGATTTATATCCAATTTATAATTCAACTATCCAATAAAATTAAAGAAATATTTATTGTATTTGTATCCACAAGCCACAATTTTTGTGATTTTTGTGTTAACCTATCGGGACTTCCTTCGGATGTTGATAAAATTAATACAGATTTTCCATGATATGTAATGTTTTTATGGCTTTTTAAAAGGGGAGTTGCAGTTTGATCTTCATTAACATATACTAACGCCACTATATAGAAATTTCTTAATTTGGTTGTCTTAAAAAAAGTTAAATATTTTTACATCAAAATCGTAACTTATCAGTTAGTTAGATATGTATTTCATATTATCCCATATTTTTTTAATTCAATTTAATATTTTTTACCTTTTTTTTATTATATTTACTTTCGATCTACTTCTATTTCCTTCCTTTTTTTTCTCTCTGATTTCTTACCTTTACAAATTTTTTATTTCTCGTCTGCTTATTATAACAAATATTTTATAAAATTTAATAGAAATACTTCCTTTTTTTTTTATTTTCTTTGACATTAATTAGATTGATTTATTTATTTCTTTCTTTTTTTATGCCAATTTATATCTTGAATATACTTTAATCTTTAATAAAGTTACGCTTTTTGTATTTTACAAATAATTAAATTTCATTTTTTTTTCTCTCTAATGTTATGAAAAAATACTATTAAAATGGTACACTTTTATTTCTTTAACTCTTTTTGTCTTTAGGGATCGTTAATAAAATTGTCATAAATTTCCTCTTTTCAATTTTAGAATCTGTCATAATTGAAAATTTTTACGAATATTTAAATTTTGGTCGAAAAACTAACATTTTGGAAAAGATTTCTTAAAAACATCGACTCGAGTTAAGTTTAGTAATTTGATGATATTAAAATGCAAATACTATATGTTGAATATAATTTTCATGTTTTTTATTATTGACATATTGAATAATTTTTATTTATTTATTATCTATTTCTTTCAGATTTTCTCGGTTAAGATTGTTAGTTGTAACATTGATCATGAATGGTTTCAAAATGTTGCAATGTGTTGCAATACGTAAAAATGGTTATAATTATCGAATTTTACCTTTATCATTACTTTTCGATTTGAATCAAAATCATGAAAATCAGTAAGTAATAATGATAAGAGGAAGCTAATATCAGAAACAAAAAAAAATCTGGTTTTGAATTTGATGATAACGCTGGAAGAATATGAATATAGTGAATATAGTGTGAACTAGAAGATTAAGTCATCAATTACTGATCGTGTTATTACTATATGCAGTATAGGTATTATTCTAGAAAATTGAATATTACCATTGGAACATTGTAACGGGGGTATGAGATACTAATCACATGATAATTAATAGATTTTAGCAGGAAAAGTTTTAATACAACGATCTGATCAACCTTTTGAAAATATCGACATTTTAATAATAACTATTGCGAAAGTATCGTATGCAGAACTATTAATGGTAAATAGAGTTTCAATTACTTTTATTATAAGATTTTATTTGTAGAAATTCAAATTTTTAATCATGACTTTTTAAAGTAAAAAAAAAACTCTGAATTCGAGTATTAATTTGGGATCGAAAGCGCAGTAAAAAGTTAAATTATTGTTTCGAAGATTCTTACCGAATACAGCTATTGCCGACACTACCATAAACAGTGGACTATGATACTATAATATCCTAGTAATATTGGTATTTCCTGTATTTCACAAAATTTGTGAAACACAATCGCTTTAACAATAATTCCTAAAATATTATGTAACTTTTACGTATATACCAGGTATTTGGATATTTGAGTAAAGTTTCTTACAAGTAAGGTTATTAGCAGATTATGATCGCTGTTTACCTTACAAACATTACACCAGCCCTATTGATTAAGGAGTACCAAATTTTTGAGTTCCAATTGAACATTCTACTTTCAACGTAAGTTTTTGATTGGTGGAGATGGTATTGTGGAGGTTAGTATTGGGTAGTAGATATACCACCTGATCTACTTGGTTGGATGATGTTTCGTTCATAAATGCGTCAGTAAACAAATTTTTTGTTGTAAGACTATATCCAAACAGGTACTGGTACTATATGCGTCAACTAATATTATATCGTAATCATGTGTAAGTTTAGGGGGGGTGCTTAATGCTTATTTTTAAGTTTTTATTAAACCTTGTATTATTCAAAGTTAGGAAAGGTGCTTATTTTCGAGGGCTTTATTTCACAATTTATGGTATATTTGAAATTTTTATATAAACTAACATTAATAAATGACAAAATTGTAACCAAGTCATTTCGATTATAATATATAGATACCTATAAACTGAACTTGAGCTGAGAGTTGGACTTGAAACTAGAGAATCTGGCACCCAAGCAGTTATTATAAAATTTTGTTCAATTTAATAAAAAATCGGGATGAGAAAAAATGGTGAAAAAAAATCAAGTGTGAAATGGTATTCTTAATTCTTTGCATCTTTTGATTCCAAAAATATATTAATTTTTCAAAGTATAATTTTACGTCCATCATTAGCCTTAGTGCAATTTTTTTTGTGTAATCGATTTCTTTATATGGCTTTTAAATTATTTCCTTTTCATTCTTGATTCACCTGCATATGTATATATAAATATGACTAGCATTGAATTTTTTAATCATTATAAAAATAATCATTTTTTTTTATTATTATTTTGTATATACATTTATAATGTATTTAGAATTATATATTATTAGAAGAACAAAATTTTAGAAAGAGCTTACATCAAAAAATTATTATTTTTTTAGGTGACCTTATAAGTTTCAATGTAAGGAGTAAGTTAATTTTTTTTTTTTTTATTTATTTGAATTTTCCAAATTTTCCAGAAAAAAAAACGCTATAATTCTAAATAATAATCAGTATTCAGATTTTTTAAATTAAGAAGGTATTAAAACTCTATAAAGCATTGAGTTATTAAGATATTGTAGTTGTATACTTATATCAGAATCAAATATAATGATTTCAAAACTATGGTTGGATAATATTTGTAAGATTATAATAAATTGTATTTATTTTACAATTATCTCATTTCTTGATTTTTTTT